AAGCTATATCTGTACCCCAGTTTGTGAACGTGTTCAACTTTGAAACCAGAAGAGATTAATACCTAATTTTTTCAACATACATAAAGTATCATTTTATTTCTGGTAAGTTAATTTGGTTGATATTGTTACTTGGACTTAATACTATATGGTTGTGAAATGAATATTTTAGTGACGTAATACCAAATTTGGTAAAATTTTTCAAAAATATATGGCTCCAAAATAATTTATTATTATTATTGCTAAGTAGGCCATTGGAAAGAGCGGAAAATTATAGGCGGGAAAACAAGTTGACCTATTACAGTTTGGCTCTGTGGTTCTCAAAATATTATAAAAATCAGTTGAAAACAAAAAAGCGTTATAACTTCGTTCCTAGGAATTTTGAATAAAAGTAAGTTTTACATGTAAACATACTTACCTATATCTAAATTTTCTTTGGTACTTTATTTTGAATTACCAACACCATCTTTTGTTTTTGTAATGGCGGCCATAACTTATATAGTTTGATATATAGTTTGATTTCTTGATTTTTTTCTATCTCAACATATAAAATTTTAATATGGCGGCAATAAGAAAAACAAGAGATGGTGGTTGTAACTCACAATCTAGTAGGCGAAAAAAATCACAAATTGTATGAAAATGTGGATAAATGTTTATGGTTTTATGCAAACCTTAATAATAACAAAGTTTTTTGGATTTTAGATTTTGAATTTTTTCCCAAATTATTTAAGAACTTTTTTTCAATGCCATTATAATATAATTTTAATTACACAACTTTTCTCTACTTCAGACGCGTTTATAGCTCTTCAAATAAAAATACGATACCCATACAAAGAAGGATACTTGGTGCACCCTGTTTAAAACAATAAAATTTAAAAAAAAATAAAAAAAACTTATATGGGTGAATCTCACGAAATGTCCCACGATGGTGTTACCCCCGTGATATTTAATAAAACTAAATGAGTTTGACCTACACTTTTATTGTGTTTTGATTAATAAAGTAGATATTTCAGCTCAGGTTCCAGATTTTTAACCGCAATTAATTATTTATTGCAATGTTTTAAAAGTTTAAAACCTATCCTCCGTGACTGTTACTCTTTCTAGGTTAACCTATATGTTTTCAAATATCTGAGGTAGTAAAAGCATACTAAAAATATCAGTTCACTAAGTAAACACATCCAAAGCAATCGAATCACATATAAAATATTATTAAAAATTAAAAATAATAATTTTTATAACCATTTATGTAGGTGTTACAAAAATCCTCCGTGAATCTGTTTTTGCTTTAAATTTTATGCAACGGATGGCGCTTTAATCATTTTAAATAAGCGAAAACCTCTATTTACGACATTATAGATGCATTTGATTCCTGAAGGTCAGTAAGAATTTATATGAAGATGAGAGTGTTGCTGTTTTATAATTCAAAAGTGAAGTGTAATATCTCAGTGTAGAAGTAGATTTTCTTATAAATATTGTATGTATGTACAATTGTATTTTTAAAAAATATTAAGGTTTCAAAAGATACAATAACTTATTTCAAATATACAAAGGGATGTTTTAAAAAAACATACGAAATCCTAACCTCCTAACCTCCCTAAGCTATCTTCCGTGAAGCTCTAATATTTAAAATGTATGATTTCTTAAAATTCTTGCATTAGTGCAGAAGCACTTATGTTATGTTACTAGACCTGATGGCTTCCCAAAAACCCCATTCTAGACTGATCTTCCAGGGTTATTTTACCCCCTTTCGCTTCTATATATATCCCGCCACTACACAGCCTTACCTGTGTTTGGTGGATCCGAATGTTCGCCCCGGCCGGTAATCTTTCCTAGGAGGTCGTGGATGACAGTGTCGATGGTTAAGGCCATTTCCGGAATACTGCCCTACTATGGAGAAAGGCAGTAACTGCAAAAAAAATGCAAAATGCGTTTTCTTGTGCTATGGTAAAGCTATGGAAATTTTGTAACCAAATTCAACACAGAAATGCAGTCAAATATCTCATAAGTTAAAAAAATCAATGAAATACCTACTGCTTTTTATAAAAATGTAGTTTATGCTAATTTTCTACAAATTTCTTGGTTAGCAGTTAGCCTTTCTCCATAGTAGGGAAGTGTAGGACTAGGAGGGACCAGGGTATTAGTAATGACCCCATTCAATTGGGGTTCATGAATGAGGCTTGGGTTATTAGTAAGTTGCTTGGAGATCCTTGCTGGTCTTGTATTTCATCCGGGTCTGTCGGAATTCGGAATCTGCTGCGCGCAGTTGTTTATCCCACTGGAGTGTTGTTTTTACTTTCCCCACATTCTTAGAATCTTTTTGTATATGGGTAATTTTTAAGAAACACCCGCTTTCAGGAAAATAAAGATCAAAATTTTTTTTTGCTTAAATTGACTTTTGGTTGGATTTTTATAAATGTTTAGAGTTTTGTTTACTTACATTTAAGACAGGCAGTGCACTTTTTAATTTTTTTTACGTTTTTTTTTTCAGAAAAATATGTTTAGCTAGCTTTATATGTCTCCACTGTGTTACCAATTTAAAATCCAAAATTTAATTCAATAAAAAAGTTGTTATAAAAATAATTTGAAATAAAATGTACTTAGTTCACAAAGTTTTGACTCCAATTTTATTTTTTATTAAAAATTGTATGCCTTTTATTATTATGTTAGTTAAGTTACTTTTTAAAAAAAACCATTTCGATTCTTTGTTAAAAAAACAATACCATTAATATTTTCTTTTAGTTACTGTATTAGTGAGTTAAACTCTAATTTATAAACAGGTATTACCAAGTGATAGTAAAATCATTTTAAGGAAAACTAAAAAAAGTAACGAAATAGATCTTGGTATCACAATGGACTGGGGTACACAAAGGACTTAATCAGATAACGTAAAAAAGAAACTATATAGGGTGGTACGGTTTTAGAGTAATGCATAAAAAAATCCCTTGTAGTGGTGCTCACTTGCAGAATAACAACTTAGATTTCTTAATTATAGACATCCTTTTTCTTTGACTATAAGCTGGTGTCTTTTAGTTCTTGTATATTGAGTGGAATTCTCCCTTGGATGTAATCTATATCATGAGTTGTAATCACAAATAATTTTAAATTGGTTTATCATAAACTACTTTTAATAAAAGCGACGGTAAATATCCACTTTGTTGTCGAAAAATTCTATTGCGTTACCCTAAATTCCATTGCGTTACCATAAGGTAACGTAATGGACTCGGTAACGCAGTGGACAAAGTTTTGTAAAACCATATTTAAAAAATAATAATAAAACATTACAGTCATTAATTACTCTTTAGTGCCCTAAAATAAACATAAACATGAAAAATAGTATTTTTTCTTACCTTATTTTTATTATTTTTTTGAGTAACTTAGCGGACAAACAATTATTACATTCGCGTTACCCGCACCTGTTTCAACCGATATCTTCTTCCTGATTGAATAAATAAATTCAGCTGGGTAATGTGTACGTCCGAACATCATTTGTTAATCACGTGAGTGCCAAAAAAGTTGCCATATATATGTTTTTTTAAATATTCTATCGGTAACGCGACGGACGTAACGCAACGGAAAAAATGTCTGGGACATGAGTCAAATTTAAAAAAAAGTAGATTAAAATTAATTAATTTATATATAAATTGTTTACTTTATTAACTAAGGATGTTATGGATTGCTATAAAGCAACACAAAGTTCTGGTTATTCAATATTAAAAAAACATGTATGTAAGTTTTATAAAACGCTAATGGGACATGCGAAAATGTGTGTTTCACAAGTTACAAAATTTAAAAAAAATTATTCTGAAATAACTAAACAAACTTTTTCTGAAAGAGCTTACTAAGGGCTTGTTAGGCTTTCACTTGGTTTTTAAATCAATAAGATCCGATAATTTTTAACAAAGTTATTGGAATTCAAACTTACGGACAGCGGGTGTGTTTTGAAAACGACCCATATTCTTAAATTTATTTTATTGTTACACCATTGTTACACCATATATTTTTTATACGTTTATTTACAAATTAATTTAAATAAAATTAAAATGTCAAAAATAAAACATTTTTAAAAGTTTTGGGGATACAATTTGTTTTTATAATTTTATCAAAAATCAAAAAAAAAAGATAATTTTCTAAAATACATATTTTGAAAATCATTTTCCTTCAAAAATACAGGGGTGCAAATAGTGTTGCAAACAAGGAAAAGTTCGGTCGAAAAGTTGGAAAAGTTGGAAAAGTTATTAGGTGGGAGCCAATGAGTTGACTTCTAACCAGTGTTTCCACTACCATAAATCAAAACTGGAAGAGTGCAAATTTATACACAGTATGAAAAAAATATTTTTTTTTTAATTATGGAAATTTGCAAGTGAAAATATAAAAGTGGAAAAGAAGAAAGTTTTCATTTCTTTTTGTTTTTAAATTTTACTTGTAAATTTTTATAATTTTTAACAACAGTAAATTTAATAATTTTTGCTTCATATTTTTTTGTAATTATTTTTTATTTCGTATGTGTTTTTTATGGTATACCATATATGTATAAATTTCTATTCTTTTTTACTAATATGATTTTTTTAAACTCAAACCTAGTTTATTTTTGTTGTGATTATGTTGTCTGTTCATTTTATTTTGTTTGTTATTTTGTTATAAAACAGCTTGTTACGTATGTATAAATAGTATTTATTAAATACAAATATTTATTAAATACATAAGAAATAAATTATTTTAATACATTGACAAGCATGTTTTATACGTTTACATTACGAAAAACTCAACTTATCCAACTTTTCCTAACTTTTCCGAAAAATAAAACCCAACTTTTCAAAAATTTCAACTTTTCATGAAAAGTTGCAACCCTAGGTACAAAAGGTGGTCATAAGATAAGCTTTTTTGACCCACTGTGGTACGCGGCCGCAGCTGCCGCGGCGGCGTTCGCCCTGCCCGCCGATGATGCGGTCATCTGAATGGTGTAAGCGAGATCCGAAGGAGGAGGCAGAACGCAAACTTGAATCAGTGTGTTGCGCGGCTCCCCAGAGCAGGTTTCGAATCGAGTCGGCCGGCAGACTTGACCGACAAAAATAAATACCACGACGACTTGCCAAAAACTCCTTCTATTTACTTTTAATCGAACATCTGTGCCCGTTTAGTTCCTCAGTTTTGTGAATATGTGCACGCAATAATTTAAGTGTTCGCTATTTACATTTAATTCAGCAAAAATGAATACGGCCGAAAACGGCGAATCCGCCAGGCAGGACATTTCGACTTCGGTTGCTTTATCCAAAACCACCACAATCAGCACCATTGCCGTTCAAAGTGGCAAAACAAGGATTGTTATTGCTCTCTTGCACGTATGTGTCACTTTCTTATGTTTTTCGCCATATATGGCATCCACATTTTTTTAATTCTAATTCGTTTTTAATTCCATAACCTGGCTTACTTATACATGTGCTAGACGGTCTTAATCATGACCAATTTATTAAGGTCAAAAATGTTGTATTTAAATAAATGCATGTTTTAAGGCACATTAATTCTCAGGGTTTACCTGCAGTGCTTAAATTATAAATATATATTTACTTTAGGGCAAAATAATTTTGTTTATATTAAAATTTTAAGTAAAGGAAAAACTGATTAAATGTTTAATTTTAAACAATTTATGTCATGCATAAATATAAATAAACCAAATTACATATTTACATAAATTGCTACTTAATATTTGTAAGGTAATAAAAAAAGAAAATGCCGTCTCACATAATAACAAGTTAATTTTTGAATAGCGTAAATTACGTTTTTTTAACAGTTGTTTATATATAGATTTTCCTTATTGTTATACAGGGTGTTTCATGACCAGTGACACAAAAATATATCTTATAATATAATATTATGTATCCATATTATGAAAAATTAAATTTTAAACACAATATCAGGAATATTTTTTTTTTGAAATTCTAGTTTGTTTTCAAATTTATAAGTTAATTAAAAACAACAAAAATAATAAGCCATTTTTAAAATTTGTCTTTTTTAGTATAATAAATGTTTAAAAATGAGACACATTACTGAATTAAATTGTTTTTGTACATAAAACCATATAATTTAAAAATAAACATTTAAAAAGGTTCAGTTTATCTTTGCGACGAATCATTTTAAGGCTGTTTTTTTACATTAAATACAAAATTAGTCGATTTTGTTTCTATAGTAATACATATTGTTTTCTTCTTATAATTTGTTTAAATGCTAAATTAGGTAATAAAAATTATAAGCTGTAGATACTATTCTTAGCAATTCTCCAATTGTCCAAATAAAATAAACAAGGTATTTATTGGATAAACAAATCCTTTAAAAAAGTTTATAAACAATTGCGAATTGCAATTTCGCCCACAAATAAAAAATAAAAATCCCCGCGCATTCGCCATTTTTGACAAATTACCAAATAAAATTTAAATCAACGCAGGTGTAGTTTTTTAATTAAATTAATTTGTTCCAAGTTTAATAAAGACATGGTGTAAGACCTATCTTATTAATATTTATTCCAAAGGGTGAAAATACAATCAGTATTTATTTGGTTGGTTGAATGTAAGAATGATTTACTACATTTTTAATGTTTAAATTCCGCCATTTGAAATAGTGTACTTTCTTATTTCAAAAAAGACGTTTAATATTATAATATTATTATTATTATTTATATTATAAATTAAATGTTTTCAAAAGTGTTGTTAATAGCAATTCTAATTTGTAAATTTTTAACTGTTTTTAAATTGAAGAAACCAAACAAAAAATTATTAAAAACCTTTAGTACCTTTATGTAATATACAGTGTGACCCATTTGTTTGCGAATCTCCCCTGTAAAATCTTTATGTATTGTGCGATTTTAACCAGATTTGTTTTAAAGTGTAGATCTTGATAAACTGTATTTTGAAGCAAAAAACGCCATATTTTTACAAAATACAAGGCCTACTATGTCCGTTTTTAAGACTAAAATTTTAAGAATTCATATTAGGGATTTTTTTAAACAAAATCCAAGCACGGCACTGAATTCACCACCCCTCAAAACGACCCTATACTAAATTTTATTGAAAAATTTTAATAAAAAAAATGCACAATAATAATAAACAAAAATTTATTTTGTCAAGTTATCCATGAAAAAAACATTGAAATAAAATTAAACTAATAGTAACATTACTGTAAGTTTAATTTTATTTCAATGTTTTTTTCATGGATAACAGAATAAATTTTTGTAAGGTATTATGTAGGTATTATTGTATTATTTTTCTACCTAAAATTTTTTAATAAAATTTAGTAAAGGGTCGTTTAAAGGGGCGGTGCCGTGCTTAGATTTTGTTTAAAAAAATCGCCAATATGAATTCTTAAAAATTTACTCTTAAAAACTGAAATAGTAGGCCTTGTATTTTATGCTAATATGGCGTCTTTTGCTCCAAAAATACAGTTTATCAAGATGTACACTTAAAAAAATCTGGTTAAAATCGCACAATAAATAAAGATTTTACAGGGGTGAGTCGCAAACAAATGGGTCACACTGTATATGGGCCAAAATCGATGGGGTGGATAATTTATATATTTTTTTATATGCATTAGTTTTGAACTTTCTTTATTAGTGCCTCAGTTTAAACATGATAGATCTCGGCAATATTAAAAAATGTGATTTTAAAGGTTTTTTTTATCGTATTTTCTGAAAAAAATATTGCGGTATGAGTACATCTCAAAAATACGCCATTTTTAGAAACTAAAATATCAAATTTATCTCCAAAAAATTACACATTTTCTAAATCTTTATGATCTGTTTTAAAAGAAAATATCTTAGTAAATTTTCTTGTACATTCCGCTTTTCCTATCAGGGTTTTTGGTAATTAATTGCATTTAATTTTTTTGACTAAACTTAAAAAAATATAACTTATAAAAATGTTTCTTCTAAAACAGCAGATGAAATATTAAAAAAACGCCATTTCATGGTACATGTGGATTGTAATACCGAAATATTTTTTTTTTTAAATAAGTTCAAAACAAGTTTTTTGAAATTATCACTTTATTGGAAAATAAGCTATTTAAATTAATACCTAATAAAAAAACTTTTTCAAAAATTCATTTGCCGAATTTAATTAAACTTAATGTTTTTTATAATGGCTTAATTTCATGTAATTAAATTAAAATTAGTTAATTCAAAGGGGAGGCTGGGGCATTCCAACTAGATGTTTAAAAGTAAAATTCGTGTATGCTATTGTGTTTTTTTATTTGGGTATTTAATATTATTTTTAGATTAAGCAATTAAAAATACAACTTTTTTTTCTTTTCATCTTTTTTTCCATCTTGTTTAATTTGCAAAATAAAAGAAAATTAATTTATTTGCTCGCCCATAGATAAATGAATATATTTTTATTCCTGGAAATTTAGTAAGATAGAGAAAAAATGCAAGAAATAAAATGTTTTATTTTTAATTGCTTAATCTAAATATAATATAAAACTAAAGAAGCAGTGACGTAAACATAATTTTTTTATTAACATTAACACCCTGAATATCAAAAATAAACCTTTAAAGCATACAAGTTCATATAAACTTTTAAACCTATTTTTGCAACGTCTATTTACTTGATTTTCCCAATAAAAATACCTATACTTATGAACATATTTGTCTATGGTATAATTTTCTATAAGAATTTTTTTTTAAAAAATATTTCATAAAAATGTGGAACCAAGCGTGTGGACATAAAAATAATACACAGTAAAACTGATTTTTATAGAATAGTAAATTGTTTATTTATATGTTCCATATTGTTTTATACACATATTTGTTAAACAATTAATATAGCAAAACCATAAATAAGTTTATGTTTTATTAAATAGCAATTATTCTTTATTTAATTGCATGTCTCTATAAGGTTACCTAAAACTATTAAACATGATCATTTTATAGTTAGATATGGGGACTAACACGTAATTAAAACCATTAAAAAAGTAAAAATAGTATTTCTATAATAGGAAAATAATAAACACTGCATTTAATAAGTAAACCAACGCATTTTTAAAATCATTTGTTTAAAACTACTGTTAAATGTGCTAACCAAATTCTCAATAAGGATTTTCACATAAGCATCCAACTAAATAGGTAAAGAATTGTTACCGTTCTTGAATTTTAATGTTATTGTACGTATTTAATAATGTTCAGATTTAACAATGTAAATTTGGGTCAAATAATTAAAATGTGGAAAGCAGTAAAAAACACATGTGTAGCAAGGAAAATAAAAAATGGCAAATTTGCATTAAATTTATTTAAAAATAGTTATTAAAATAGCACTATTTTAATAACTATTCCGCGCTTAACGGATAGGACAGTTGCCGTGTTTTTATTTACAAAATAATATTGTTCTATTATATTACCAATGTCAAATTTTTATAAATAGTTCTAAACAAAAGCTGTTTAACAAGGTTTTTATTTGGAAAAATTAGGTATCGTGGTTGACTGTTTAATTCCTTAAAAACTAATAATTTAAAGCGCTTTAAATTATTATTTTTTAAGGAATTAAACAGTCAATCACGATACCTAATTTTGCCAAATAAAAACCTTGTTAAACAGCTTTTGTTTAGAACTATTTATAAAAATTTGACATTGGTAATATAATAGAACAATATTATTTTGTAAATAAAAACACGGCAACTGTCCTATCCGTTACGCGTGGAATGGCCCAGTGCTTAAAGTGACAATTTATTTTGTGAAAAAGTGAAAATAGAAGTAAAAATAAAATCACTTTTAGCACATTTTTTTACAAACGCCATGGTATTATTCATTCTTTATTTATTATAACCTCACTTTCTCCCAATTTTAAAGATCATTATACTATTGTCAATAATATGCAATAGTAGTAAAAAAAATATATTATAGTCCCAATACTACCAACATACTACAATAATTTATTTCAATAATAAACTAAATATAAGAGATAATATTGTTCCTATTTAACACCACATATGGTGTTAAATGCGAACAATATTATTTCTTTTATTTAGTTTATTATTGAAATAAAATTATACAAACGTTAATAAGATTTGCGACCATGTGGCAAATATATTTTTTAACATTGTTCTTACGTAATGTACGTTTAACAGGTTTCGTGATGTGTTATTATGTTGTTACGTGGGACTGTTACTAATTTTTAGGTTATGCATGTTTCATAATTTTAGTTTATTTTTATTTATTTAAAATCTTATCAATTTATTGATTCCTTTAAAAATAAAACTTGTAATTAACATATAAATTTGTCGTAATTTGAAGTAATTATTCGGAATAAATTATTTAAATTAATGCGTTATAATTTATAAATATAATAATTATCTTTTGGAA